TTACCCTCCTGTACTGGAAGGAAAGCAACACCAATTTCTCTTGTTTCTTCAGGTAGCTAAAGTCACTCAACCTTGTTACCAATCCAGCAAATATCATCGGCAGGAGCAAATTAGTGCAGATGTTGGAATCTGCACTGCAAACAAGAAATGCTGGAAATCACAGCTAATCAGGCAACATCCATAGAGAGAGCGCAAGCTAAAGTTTCGAGTCTAGACAACTCTGGCACCCTCTCCAAATTTATTCAGCTTCAGAATACCTGTCTTAGAAATAAACAATTCAAGTCTCACATGCATTAAAGTCAAATGGACCATAATAATTGTATCCCACAGAATGACTGATTAGTCACATTTCTTTTTTTTTGGACTTATACCTTGCTCATAACTGCACACTTAGCTTGATAAGAGGGTTTGATCCAATTCATCCCAATCAAAAGATCCTCTAACCTGTCGTTTGACTTGTGATTTATTGATTGTTCATCCACAGTTTCCAGATCAAAGCGTATTTTTCTTCATCATTCATATGATGTACACAATACTGGCAAGGCCAGCATTTATTCCTCATCCCTACTTGTTCTTGGGAAGGTTTTAGTCAGCCATCTTAGTGAAAACAACCATGTGGCTTGCCAAGTCATTTCCAGAGGGCAGTTAAGAGCCAACAACAGTATTGTATGTCTAGAATCACATATAGGTGAGATTGGGTGAAGGTAACAGATTACCTTCCCTAAAGAATAGCACAATCCATTAATTTCATGGTCAGCATTACTGATATTAGTAACTAATTAGTAATTAACCAAAATTAACTAAATTTAAGTGCTCCAGTTGCCATTTTAAACTCATGGATTTTCAACTTGGAGGCTAAACCCTAGCCTGGGGGAACAGCCACATGTCAGAATTTTGACTATGGCATCTCTATTCTCGACATGGAGACACTTTCTCTGTCCAAATAAAAGCAGTGGGTGGACTGTCAAGCCAGAGAGCCTATCAAAGGCCTTTCAAATGCAAAAGGCACCCAACAGCAGTGAACAGTAAGTGATGGAGAAGATGTTTCAACGAGAAGGCCCTTCCAGCCACATTCGTTCACCAATAATTGTAACACACAATAAAGCAACCAGGTCACTACTAAAGAGTAAAGGAGAGACTGTCTACAGGCCAGCCTTTGGCTGAACCCCTCTTAAGAGCGCAGAGTGGGTCTTGAGGCTTGCACAGACACCCAGGCCTTTGGGTGGGTGATCACCTTTAGAAAGTTAATCAGCATCTTTTCAAGGAAACTTGAGACCAACTGTAAAACACAAGTAATTTCCCACTACTTCAAACTGAATAAGCCTAGTTACCTGCCCACCTTCTGGGAGCATGTGGCTGGGCTCCAAAGCCACAGCAGCCTAAAAAGCTGATACCCAGAGGAAGTTCAGGAAACCAGCACTCTGCCATCCTCATCATTTCTGGGTCTCATACACCTTGGTTGCTGAACTGTTGGAGGTGAGAAAATTCATGTCTCATGCATTTGTCCAAACCTTTAAGGTTACTAGTTCAGTAATATAACCACTGTGCTGCTGTACCTTCACAACATAACCATCTCAGAGCTTTTAGTTATCTTACATCAACCTGTTTGGACATGCTGTAACACTCCTCCAGGACAAGTGGAGCTTGAACCCATATCTTCGGAATCAGAGAAAGAGATACTATTACTATACCACGAGATTCGTACTCAGGGCTCACTTAAATTTATATCATTTGGATAATAAGAACTCTCAGCTGGTTCAACTTTCTAGAACAATGTCATGCCAGTAATTGTCCATACAGTTTAATTAGTAGTTGTGAAGAAGTAATTATTCTTAATGCCGCTGAACTGATTTAATATATTTCTTATAAAATCAAAATTAATAGTTGTTCTAAGTGCCAATTTATATTTTTAACATTGATAAAAAAATCCATTGAAATGTAATTTGTATCTGTACTCTGTAGATGAGAGATGGATGAAAGCAGCCTTCCTGAGTGAGCTATAATTGTTGCAGAGATGATCAATTTACCCATTACTGTGTCAGATGTTTTTGTTGCCTATAATACAAATGAAAAGCATTATGATGAAATAGAAATTAATTAAATTGTACTGAGCTAACATTTTTAAGTCCTTCACTGATTAAAACAACAGCCCGTCCATGTATTAATCAGTGTAATTAATCAGTGAATCAGATGCAGGATGGAACTTGGACAGCACTTTAATGAAAGCCTCAAATTGATTTGTCACATGTGTGGAGTTCCAATCATGCATCATATATTGATGAAAATCTGTATGAAACAGCACAAATCATAGTTTCCATCCTTCTCTTCTGTGGTTACTGAAAGTTACTCCAGAAAATTGGGGAATCTCCTTAGACTTATTACTCTCTGATGCAGTGAAAATGGATCTCTTCAACACTCCTGATGCTCGCAGAACCAGGATTTATAGTTTTAGCTTTCTGCAGTTGCTAGAGTCTTGAAGCTGGCTGTATCCTTGATATTTAAGTGTACACAACAAGTTTTATATTCTATTTGCCATTTTTATAGTATGAACAACATCTAAAATGTGCTGATAAATGAGACAAATGCTGGCTGTCTGATTCCTCTGGTGTTTAGGAACCAAAAACCCTGACTTTTATGATTTTCTAATCCAGAGCCAGCATCAGGGCTAAGTGGGCACTAAATTCTACCTGGTTCATGTAAGCTCGACAACAATTACTCATTTTGTTGAATACAGAACCCAGGGTGTGAGAAATAGCAATGTAAAATACTTAATGACATTTTTAAAGGTCACTGCAAAATTAAACCCTGATATCAGGAAAATTGGTCATAATTGAGGGTGTAGATAATTTGAGTTCCAGTTTAACACATGCAGAAATTTCAAGTAGCAGACCAAGAGGGTACAGAGTTCAAAAATCCAAATTGAGATCACAAAGGCGAGACAGACTTCCAGGAAGGTTGATTTAGGTCAAAACTTTAAGAAAAAATGTTCTACTGTAAGACAAAGACATGTAAATGATAAACTGAAATGAACTGAAATGCCTTCTTCATTCAAACCAGTTTTGTGAAAAACAAAAATGAAAATTCATTTTGTTGATAAATTTCAGGGAACAGCTGGCAGAAGTTCAAAAAGCAACTCCCACCTTTATAAGCAGCAACCATTTCAGCTAAGTCATTGTCAGGAGAGATTTCATTCCCATAATGTTTAATCACATTGTAAATTGTTGGCATCTACTCAGTGTCATGGAAGGATGAATGTTAGGATCATATTCAATTCAAACTTTGATCAAAATTAAGTAATTGCCAAAATTGGAAGTATTCTACAAGGATAAATTAAAATAGTTGTTTAAAATTCAATGATACAAAATGATGTTCAAGGACTACAAACATTTCCATTTTTTTAAAGCTCATTCTTGAGATGTGGGCTTCAGAAAGTGATCATGACTGGTTTGATACAACTGAGTTACTTATTTAATGAACCAGATGAAGCTGTCTCAAAATATATTAAGTAGACAGCCTAGATCCTAACTTTTTTCTTAATTAAAGGTAAGTGCAAGTTGTTGCGTTCCAGATGTAATTTGATTGATCAAACTACTCAACTTTAAGCAAAACTCACTCTATTTTTTACACTACAGTTAAAATACAGATAAAATAAAATGAAAAGAATTGGCTTAACTGTAAATCTATCGAAATGCTTAACAAAATAATATATACGTTAACTACTACTAATTAACTATTCCAATCTAGTAACATCCCATAAACACACCCTCGACAAAGGCAAATTCAGTAAAATAGATCTTTCACGTGCAATTCTAGCAGCAGGAAGAGAACCCCAGCTTTTAGCTGTAACATAGAGAGGAATAAGAGCTTCCACATCCAGCTTAAAGAGCCTAGCAACTGCAGAAAACTTAACCTAAAAATCCTGGTTCAGTGGGAGCTTGACCCCATCCATCCTGGCTGCCTCTTTTGTTCCAACTTTAAAAAAAAAACTCCAGGGCTTCACAAGCTGTTTACTTTAATGGCTTCGAGCAGACTGCTCAGCACCTCTGTCTTAACCTTTCTTCTGAACAAAAGGACATAATATACATCTCTTAAGGCCATAGTATCATCACACTTAATAGGCCACTTAATAATTCAAGCATATGTGAGTCAGCCATTTTGAAAAACAGGAGAAGTATGATCATGGAACATGTCAATGTTGATAACTTTAAAGAATACAATCATTAATTTAAATAATTCTAAACAATCAACATTTTTAAACTATTTGAATTTTTAGGTATACTGTTTTGACTCAGTTTAAACTGCTAAATCTATCAAAATGTCCCCAAATAGACAGTCATTCAGCTTTATTTATTATCATTGAAACACCACATTTGAAGGAATATATTTAGATGCATTCTCTGAAGACCCCTAACAAACTAGGTGTTCCAAACCTCAAACTGTGGGATCCATGTGATCTCTGGACCATAACAGTCCGTATATCGCATATGGTTCAGTTCTGTTATATTTGTAAATCATTCAGTAAACTGACTGGATGTGTCTTGTGAACACAGTAAACTGGAGTGGATTATTAATAGCAATGTTACCTCCTTGGTCGAATTCCACTTCAGAATATTATGATCAATTATTGGCAGGAACATGGAATTAAGCAAACTTAAGGATCCAGGGTTACACCTCCACAAACGCACTTAACATGAATACCCAGGTAAAAAGCTCAGACAGTAATACAATATTTGATTGCAGTCCATTTTTCTTCATTGTGGCCCTTGGCATACTTATTGCTCTACCGGCTCCTGCCCTCTTTAGCTCCCTAACCACAGCCCTTCAAACTTGCCAGTCCTCTTCTGCTTTCAAAATCCTCCTCAAAATCTTGATTTTCTACAATGTCTTCAGGCCTCTGACTCTTGTTTCATTTTTTAAAGAAAACCTTAATGTTAAGCTAGAGGCTTCTAACCCCTTTTTACATACAGCAAAACTCTTCATTTATTTCATTACTTCCTTACCTGCAGATTGTGTTACTGAACTGAGCTTAACCTTGTAGAGATTGCTTCGAACTCTCCACTCCTGCACCATGGGATAGCCAGTAGCCTCACTATATTTTGCATCACCTGGAAAATAAATCAAGTTATTTTTTTTTTTTGAAAAACACCTGATAATCAACTCAAAGCTCATTAAAGTTTGCAAATAAAAGGTCATTGCAATTTAAGTGTTGTGGTCTGGCACATTGGCGGCAATGTGCTGCACTATTTCAGCATTATACGGTACAATTCTGGGTGCCAATAAGCTGGGTGTTTCAATTTTGTGATCTGACATGTGGACTGGCAAAGAGATGCACAGTTTGAATGTTGCGAGATAGCACGTTGGTTTCCAATAAACTGTACCACATAAATGGCAGGAAACAGTTTGCTGCTCCAATTCTTGATGTCAGTTCCCAAACTCAGCAAAGTATTTCAACAAATAAATTATGTTATCTGGCTGACTTCTTTGCATTGGAGAGGTGTACAGCAATCCCAAGTGGAAATTAAGAAAACATTCAGTAACTTGGAATTGATAAAACCATTAAGGTAAAAGCAAGGGTAAAGGTAAATTGTTTATAATCACTCCATTTAAGCAGCAGAACGCTTTGCTACTGATATTGTATTGAGAACAAAACTACAGCAATAAATATTCTATGTGTTGCAATGAAATTAAGAGGAAATGCTGAATTGTGATATCCTTTGTGTCTGGCTCCATTTGAAGTGTCTGCATGTCAGTGAACAATACCCTATAACTTAGCAACGAACAATAATTAAAATGCAAGATTGCATGAAGCGATAATACCTTCAACATAAAATTAATTAGACACGTATCAAATAGAAGCTCAACGAGGAAAGATAGATGTTAGTATTCATGTCTTATTTCAGAGACAACCACAGTTCAAGATAATTCACTCTGCTCACTCCGACACACGCGCACACACACACGCATATTTGTACTTTCTGTGGCCTATTTGTTTCATGTTCATGGCTGCAAGGATTTCCTAATTGCTCCATGCAGGGAGTGGGACACCAACAACAGACAAGATGCTTACCTGTGAGGAGCTGGAGGTTGGGCAATGGCTCGGAAAGAACTCCCCGACACTGTTCTTCCACAGGAAGGGGAATGACAACTAACCCGTCAGCAATTTGAGGGAAATCCTTCACAAAATTATTCTCCCTGTATGAAGAAAGCAGATATTGCCAGACCATGATTTAAAGTGGAAGGAGATTACAGAAATAGATGTGTTTTCTGATTTCTTTCTCATAGCTGCCAAGGCTGCGAATAATTTGGAATAAATAAATATGACTTAAATGTATTGCAATCTGAATATTAACTCACATGTTCAATGGTCATCATTTTGAATTATAGAAGTGCAAAAAATATTTACAAGAACGATATCAGAACTCAAAACTAACAAGAAAAATTGAACAGGTTGGTGATTATTTATCTGGGAAGGGAAAGACATCTTAAGAGTTACAGAAGGTTTTCAGAGTATAATACGTTTCCTTGTGTACAAGAGACCAAAGACAAGGATATTATACATCTAATAGGGATTTCAACAGAAACCCCTTTACTGGGAAAGTGGTTATAACAAAGAATCCACACGTACAAGGAGCAGTAGTGGTGAATTACATAGGTGCGTTTAGGGGAAGTAGAATAAACTATCAAGGGAGAATGGAATTGAGAGATGAGTTGACAGTGTTTGATGAAGAGTGGTAGAGGAGGCTTGTGTGGAGAATAAACATCAGCTTAGACCTGCCGTGCTGAATATCTAAATATAAGCCATGCATTCAAGGTAAATCTTTGAATAATGTGGTTTTGTCAGCAATGTAATCAATATCATTGAATTACCATTTATTTCCACTATTAAAAGAGAGTTTTTCAGCCACAATGCATCCGATTTAGAATTCGCTTTCCAAATTGCTTCAGCTTCTCTTTCTCTTTGCAAGCCTTATAAAAATTGAAATCATTTAACTGTGCCTCCAGTTTTTCATGCACCTCTTAGACCTTGCCTGCTTAGTATTTGCCTTTCCTCTTGGAAACTGTTCTTTATGTGAAGAATGCTCCTGCTGTACAACTTATTATTGTCACCCTCTACCTTATTTAAGAATTTCTAATAAGCTACAAGGTAGCATTTTCACACGAATTCTAACTTCTAACAAACTATAAGATGTGGCTAGTTACGAAGTAAAAGCTAAACTATGAAACAATGGGATGGAAAAATTGTTTCAATTGTTACATATTTCCAGCTGATTGACCATTGAAATAATTTAAATTGTCGGGTAACATGAAGTTGATAGAATGCCCACACTGCAATCAGTGGGTTAATTGTATGCCAGCTCTTTTTCAAAGCTACTAAAATTAGTCCTCCTTGTTTTTAGTTGTGCAAGTTCGCTGATTGCAAAACAATGAGAAATATTTGATATGGTGTACATTTGATGAATTTATAACCAGGCAATTATGTTTGAAGATGCCAAAAACAATGTCCCTTGTACATTTGATTCAAACATCATAAAACATGGTGAAACTTGCTCATCTAACATAATTCAAATAAATATTTAATTCTATACATTTCTTCTCCATCAAACTCACTTCTACGGAAAAGAAATTGACAGTTTTTTCCTTCAATAAAGTTAAGGGAGGGGATAGCCTAGAATACTGCCAGACTATTAATCCAGGAGCTCAGCTCATGTTTTGGGGACCCAGGTTCGAATCTTTCCATGGCACGTGGTGGAATTTGAATTCAATTAAAAAAAAAATTTGGAAATAAGAATCTACTGATGACTGTGAAACCATTGCAGATTGTCAGGGGAAAAAAAAAAATAAAATTTGAAAAGAAAAAACCCATCTGGCTCACTCATGCCATTCAGGGGAGAAAATCTGCCATCTTCACTTAGTCTAGCCTACATGTGACTGCAAACTCAGAATAATGTGGTTGACTCTCAAGTGCCCTCTGAAAAGGCCTAGCAAGCCATTCAGTTCAAGGGCAGCTAGGGACAGGCAATAAGTGCTGGCCAGCCAGAGATGCCCACATCCTAGGAGTGAATAAAATTTTTAAAATGCTCACAAAAGATGATTTTATCAATAGAAATTAATAGTCTGAAACATCGACAATTTATTTAATAAATAAGGGTCACACAAACCTAAATTATAATGTGCATTGCAATGAAAAGCACTTGGAAGTTTCAATTCAGCTCAACTCAATTTGTTAAAACAAAAGCTTACTGTGGTAGATTATACTGTTCAGTAAATATGTGCCTCACATACTATAATTATGTTTGCCAGTACAATAATGCACAGCCTGTGAATCTCATCATGTTTCACTAAACACAGTGTGATTTACATTCAGGAGGTAGTACTGCCAAATGTTAACATTTAATTAGGCACTTTAGCTTGTATTGTGATTTTGTGAAGGCAGATAATTAAGAAACACTTGTGAATCTGTAAAGTCGTACTTATTGTCTGCTTTTTAATGTAAATTCCTTCTTTTCTTTCATGCTTTTTAACAGTACACAGTGTTCCCTAGTTGTGCACACAGACTGCCAACTACTATCAAGCCCTCTACTAATGTTATCCTTAAATTGGCTTCCAGACAGCATCCAGGGTTCAGTTTGTCTCTCCCATCTTGTTGTTGCTATGCTTCTTTTAATGGTCAATCTAGGAATATCAACCTGCATTCTGAAACTCTGTGGCAGGGTAGAAGACTGTACAATGCCCCATGCCAGTTTCACAGCTTTTAAGATAACAAGGTGTAGAGCTGGATGAATATAGTAGGCCAAGCAGCATCAGAGGAGCAGGAAGGCTGACGTTTCGGGCCTAGACCTTCACAGCTTTTAATATGTTTTTTTGTTTTTCAATGATGGCAACGAAAGTGTTAATCTGGATCAACAAAAAGTAAATTAGCTTGATCAGTGCCAAATACTTCATATTGAGCAGGATATGTGATTCAAATGTAGGATCTAGAAATCTATCAATAATCTGAAAAGAAAGAAAAGTTTGCATCCATACAACAACTTGAAATATTTAGAACATCTCAAGGGACCTACAGCAAATGAAATTGTGATGCAGATAACTTGGCAACTAATTTGCATACAACAAACTTCCACTGCATTAATGTGAGAATAATCAGATAATCTAGTTTATCTTTTAAGTAATTTTCAAGGATAACCATAGGTCCAGGACATCAGGAACTTAACCCTTGTCTTTCTTTGACATTGTGCCATGTGATCTTTAGGTCCACCTGAGCAGGAGGAGAGGGATTCAGTTTAACACCCTCAATACTACTGTGGATTATCAGTGTTGATTTTGAGCTCAAGTCTCTACGCTAGGATGCCTGACTGTACAGAACTGAACTGTGTGTGTATATATATATATATATATATATATATATATATAGTTTTTTTTATAAATAAAGTATATTTTTGAAATAAAAATAAAAAGGCCAAGACAAACATCGAATGCACCTGGAGGACCGTCAACTCAGTAAAAGATGCTTTTTGGTCTGCCCGAAACCTATTGATCTTGCAGAGCAAGGAGTTGACCCACCTCAATGTTTCAGACTGGAACATTCCAAGGACCAGGGCTACGTGCTGAGGGATGTACTAAAGCTTGGGGCAGCTGTCGCCACGGGGTAGTGAGGAAAGACCACTGTCTGAGGTCTTTCTGCCGAAGGTAAATGGGAGCCCGTTCACTTATCGGACCTTCCTGATGCCTCAAATATATGTAAAAATAATCTTGCACAAGTAAGAAATTCCTTGGGTGTGTTGTTGGATAGAGTCAAACTCCAGTGTTTGTTTGTTTCTTCATATGCTACTGTACAGAACCAAACTGCTTCATATACATAAAGATATTTTTATGTATAAAATATATTTTGGAAATTAAATAAATGAACTAATTTCCTGAAACTCAAAGGCAGAACCACTACCTATGGCTAAAACCCAAAGAATCTACACTCGTATGAGGCTCACAGGCCATTTGACACAACACGATAGAAGTGACTAATTCTCGGTCGTCTGCCTGGCCTGTTCAGAAGTCTCTGATTTTGTTCAAGTTCACTCTCACTACTTGTATTAACAAAAAATCTAATTTCCATCAACAAACTTCCACTGTTAATAGACTGAAACAAGATTTTATACACTGAATATTTTGGGAAAGCAGACCACAGAGTGAACATTTTATCCTGCTCAACATATGCCCTGGAAATAAAATGTGCACACCGAAATCACTCTTGCTAAAGACAAATACCATACCATCAGATACTATGATTTTGGCTGGAAATTATAAATCAGATTTATTAAGAAGGAAGATTTAAAACAAACAGTGGACTGTAACTAATGTGTATTCAGAGTGTCTCTTTCAAAAACTAAAGGTCAAAAAATACTGCAGCTCACCACAGTACTTTTTAATAACTTGGAATAAGATCACCCTGATGAGAAAGCTCTCATATATGAAATGAACTCTGTGGAATCTTTGGTTAATTTTCACCCAATTTGTGGTTCAACAAGGATAGAACTGAGGAACACAAGGTACCAGTGAAATTATATGGTTCTCTTTCCTTTAATCCAGGCTAGTACAAAATGTCATAATAAACTAAAGGTAGCCCAAATTAGAAATGATTCACTCAAAGTATGTTTCATTAGGTTTTAGGGAGGGCCCTCAGAAATTGGTTAAATGCAACAACTTTCATTGATTTAGCACCTTTAATGCAGCAAAATATTCCAAAGCCATTCACAGAGATGTTATTGGACAAAAATGGATACCATGACAGAATGGGGTGGGCAGTATTGAATTAAACAATAGCTTGGTCAAAAAGGGTAATGAGGTGGGGGGACTTAATGAGGGAATTTCAGAGTAGACTTTGAGACCAGCAGGCACAACTGCCCATGGTTGGGCAAAGAGAATATGGTTTTTGGAGACAGGAGAGGACGTAGGAAAGTGTTGAGTAACATTAGAAACATATGCAGCATGGTTCTGGAAGCATTTAAACTTAAAGATGAACATACGACATACAGAAATTGCAGGTTGAGAAAGGATAGACTCCCAACTAGCTACAGAGGTGAAACAGATTTAAAAAAAGGAAGAAAATTCATTACTTGAAGATATTTTGAGTATGATTAAGTAGTTGCAAGTGCAAGGAAGAGCAGTTTCACTTGTGGAATCAAGTGATGGCTGTCCCT